ATGTCGCCACATGCTGAGCTGAAAGAAGGCATGGCAATTTGCGTCAAGGACGGCAGCTCAAGAGTGCCTGGAAGGATTCAGGAAATCTCTCGAACCGAAGGTGTGAAAGTGCAATACAAAACAAAAGGCCAAGAAGGCTCCTGTCAAGAAGAGTGGCTTCCGCTTCACCGTTTGCTAGTGCCTGACTTTACCAAGATTGAGGCAGGTATGCAGGTGACGGTCAAAGATGTCGCCACTGGCATTCCCTTCCATTGTAGAGTCTTGCAAGTGTCAAATGAGAAAGAAAGGGCATGGGCTCCAGTGTATGTGCATTACAATGGCCATGAATCAGATTATGATGAGTGGGTAGGTGTTGACAGGCTTCAGAGCAAGTGGCTGACGTTGCATGAGCCAGTACTGCCAACCGATGGGAGTCTTGGACAGCCGAATGGGTCTTCCGCAACTTCGAGATGGCAAACCGTTGAGCGCAATGGCTTCGATTTGGATGACAAAGATGCGACGCCTCTTCCACTGAAAGACGGGCTGGTTGATGGATCGGTACCGGAGTCGCAGGACTTTTCAGTTGGTGAAGATGAGGATTCGATGGCCGTGTGTTGTTACTGGCTGGTTGGAAAGTGCCTGCGTTCGGGACACCATTCCGTTGGCAAGAAACTCTTCTTGCACGAGGACATTCCGGGTTTGCAGTGTGGCCATGGCTCAACCTGCAACTACAAACGCTATAAGACAAGAACTGGCACCATGTCTGGCACCATGTCGCCACATGCTGAGCTGAAAGAAGGCATGGCAATTTGCGTCAAGGACGGCAGCTCAAGAGTGCCTGGAAGGATTCAGAAAATCTCTCGAACCGAAGGTGTGAAAGTGCAATACAAAACAAAAGGCCAAGAAGGCTCCTGTCAAGAAGAGTGGCTTCCGCTTCACCGTTTGCTGGTGCCTGACTTTTCCCAGATCGAGAAGGGTATGCAGGTGACTGTCAAAGATGTCGCCACTGGCATTCCCTTCCATTGTAGAGTCTTGCAAGTGTCAAATGAGAAAGAAAGAGCATGGGCTCCAGTGTATGTGCATTACAATGGCCATGAATCAGATTATGATGAGTGGGTAGGTGTTGACAGGCTTCAGAGCAAGTGGCTGACGTTGCATGAGCCAGTACTGCCAACCGATGGAAGTCTTGGACAGCCGAATGGGTCTTCCGCAACTTCGAGATGGCAAACCGTTGAGCGCAATGGCTTCGATTTGGATGACAAAGATGCGACGCCTCTTCCACTGAAAGACGGGCTGGTTGATGGATCGGTACCGGAGTCGCAGGACTTTTCAGTTGGTGAAGGTGAGGATTCGATGGCCGTGTGTTGTTACTGGCTGGTTGGAAAGTGCCTGCGTTCGGGACACCATTCCGTTGGCAAGAAACTCTTCTTGCACGAGGACATTCCGGGTTTGCAGTGTGGCCATGGCTCAACCTGCAACTACAAACACTATAAGACAAGAACTGGCACCATGTCTGGCACCATGTCTGGCACCATGTCGCCACATGCTGAGCTGAAAGAAGGCATGGCAATTTGCGTCAAGGACGGCAGCTCAAGAGTGCCTGGAAGGATTCAGAAAATCTCTCGAACCGAAGGTGTGAAAGTGCAATACAAAACAAAAGGCCAAGAAGGCTCCTGTCAAGAAGAGTGGCTTCCGCTTCACCGTTTGCTGGTGCCTGACTTTTCCCAGATCGAGAAGGGTATGCGTCTAACGGTAGAAGAAGCTGATAGCAGCAAGCCGTTTCTCTCTACAGTTTTGGAGGTGTCAGGTGATAAGGACAGAGCTCTAGCTCCTGTATGCGTGCGGTACAACGGGTATGGTCCAGAATCTGACGAGTGGGTAGGTGTTGACAGGCTTCGCAGCAAGTCGCTCATATGGCATGAGCCAGTACTGCCTACAGATGGAATGCAGGGCCAATGCTCTGAGAGACTTGGACAGCCGAATGGGTCTGCAAGATGGCGGACCGTTGAGCGAGACACTCCAGTGATTGCAAGCACTGCCCAATCTTCCAATCAGGATCTTCAAAAGCCAAGTGTGACACACGACGTTGTTTCAGCGCCTGCCGCAGCAGACTTGCTGGATGCTTCGGCCTCGAATGCCATGCCGTGGCACGAGCCTGACTCGGAGGCTGATGCCTTCAACCATGCCCTCCAAGCCACCGAAGAGGCCTTGACCCAACAAGCGCCTGCAGCGCATTGGCAATCAAGACTTGAACGGACACTTGCAGCAGTGGAAACTGAGGGCCTTCGTGGTGTTCTGGAAAAGCATGGCTGGTCAGGTCTGAGGGTTCAAACATGGTAACACGGATTTACACAACCGCGTGTTTTTGACATCCATGTGCCAAAACGCCTCACGTTTTGTCATTTTTTCAATGACCAATTTCTACATCAGACGACGAAAAGTTTCAAGAGCCTTTTTTTCCATCTCCCATGTGGTCGTCATGTCTCACTTAGACATGTTGTGCGATAGATCCACTGATAGATTCTATCCCAGAATCTAGCATTGATGGTTGGGTCAGCGCAGTTCTTCATCTGACTGGGGCAATTTTTTTTGAGGTGGTTCCAACAACGATCAATCTGTTGGGTTCCTGCAACTTTCGTCTTTCCTCGCGCTCGCACCTTCCGAGTCCATTCACTACGCATGTGGGCCACCGACTTCACAACGTAGCAAGCGTGCGAGAACGTTACATCAACGTAGCACTGCGTAGATGTGCAAGCGTGCAAGAACGTTACATCAACGTAGCATGACGTAGTTCCGCAAGCGTACACGGACGTTATTAGCCCACCCCACCCCACCCCACCCCACCCCACCACCCCACCCCACCCCCCCCACCTATACTATCCATGTGCGGTGACAACAAAAATCTCAACATACAGGTTCTTAACTCCGACTAAGGAGTCTTAACTCCGACCACTTTGTCTTAACCACGCTTAGGGGTCTTTAACCCCGACTATGGGGTTCTTGTTCCAGTCTAGATGGCATGTTCCTTGGAAGATTGTATGTTTCCTTTCTTTTGCAGCCATCTTTGGCTGGTGTTCGGCAAGTTGCACTCCATGGACAAGGCCCGGGCAACTCATGTTCTGTGTGTCCTGTTACTAACGCCTGAGACATCTAGGGTTGTGGTAGGCTTCAGCGTCGAATGAAAAGGACTCAGAAATCCAGGGTTTGCAGCCTAAATCCTCCAAAAAGCGAGTTCTTTTGTGATAGGCTTCGCGTCCCGCATCCTTCTCCTTGTTCTTGCCTATGACTCACTACGCGGAAGTTCGCTTTGGTCTCTTCACTTCTTCACTTGCCCTTGTCCACGAACTTGATGCTACATACGCCTTACCTCTACGCCTGACTTCTCTCTTGTCTTTGGTGAGGTCGTCCTCGGGTTCTGTCTCCCGCTTACTCAAACAGTCGGATTCCCGGAAACATCCTGTGTCGAATGAAAAGGACTCAGAAATCCAGGGTTTGCAGCCTAAATCCTCCAAAAAGCGAGTTCTTTTGTGATAGGCTTCGCGTCCCGCATCCTTCTCCTTGTTCTTGCCTATGACTCACTACGCGGAAGTTCGCTTTGGTCTCTTCACTTCTTCACTTGCCCTTGTCCACGAACTTGATGCTACATACGCCTTACCTCTACGCCTGACTTCTCTCTTGTCTTTGGTGAGGTCGTCCTCGGGTTCTGTCTCCCGCTTACTCAAACAGTCGGATTCCCGGAAACATCCTGTGTCGAATGAAAAGGACTCAGAAATCCAGGGTTTGCAGCCTAAATCCTCCAAAAAGCGAGTTCTTTTGTGATAGGCTTCGCGTCCCGCATCCTTCTCCTTGTTCTTGCCTATGACTCACTACGCGGAAGTTCGCTTTGGTCTCTTCACTTCTTCACTTGCCCTTGTCCACGAACTTGATGCTACATACGCCTTACCTCTACGCCTGACTTCTCTCTTGTCTTTGGTGAGGTCGTCCTCGGGTTCTGTCTCCCGCTTACTCAAACAGTCGGATTCCCGGAAACATCCTGTGTCGAATGAAAAGGACTCAGAAATCCAGGGTTTGCAGCCTAAATCCTCCAAAAAGCGAGTTCTTTTGTGATAGGCTTCGCGTCCCGCATCCTTCTCCTTGTTCTTGCCTATGACTCACTACGCGGAAGTTCGCTTTGGTCTCTTCACTTCTTCACTTGCCCTGTTCCACGAACTTGATGCTACATACGCCTTACCTCTACGCCTGACTTCTCTCTTGTCTTTGGTGAGGTCGTCCTCGGGTTCTGTCTCCCGCTTACTCAAACAGTCGGATTCCCGGAAACATCCTGTGTCGAATGAAAAGGACTCAGAAATCCAGGGTTTGCAGCCTAAATCCTCCAAAAAGCGAGTTCTTTTGCAGCCTTGTTCATTTCTCATCTGCCCAGATGTCTTCGCACCCGCCGCTTTAGCAAACCTACTTTTCGACCCTCCCGAGCCACAAATCATTGGAAAAAACCCACAGTGCTTGGCGACTTTCCTACCTTTTCGCGCACCTGCATCTTCTCTCTTCTGACTTTCTCCATCTCTTATCTTCTCACTTCTGACTGTCTCCCTGTCGGAGCTTCTTCCTGGCTGTGCTTTTCCATCTGTCAATATGGTCGGAAGCTTCGCTTCTAAACTTCCTTCGATGATACGAACTGTTTTCGGAGCGAAAGCAGATTTGGAAATGGCTGCAGAGGTTTTTGTTGTGTATTTTTCGAGTCCTGATAAGCGGAACATCTGATATCAGCACATGTGAGACACGGGTGCTCCGTGAAACCTTTGTGGGATGCATTTTGCAGTTTCATTCTCAGAAAATGCGGTGTAAGTAGAAAGACGTTGCAGGACAATTGCTGACTTGCCGTTGATCAAGCCAACTTTTGAGGGTCGCACCAAAATTTGACTGCGGTTTGTTCATTGAGCGGTTTTTTGTGGCTTAAGGGGACATGCCACCCAGACGAAAACACGAATGGGTAGAAGTCACATCGGTGGATGTGGATCTGCCGGGGCCAGAGGAGATACCCCGCCAGTACTTGCGGAGTTGTTCTCAGACTTATGCTGACAAGCACAAGTTGACACTTGCGCATTGGTCCCAGCCAAAGAGAACAGGAACCGGTTGGCGCACCACTTGCCATTGCAATGAACATGTGAACTGTGCACGTTGGTATCGATTCACCGGAGAGGTTGGAGAGAGGGCATACACACTTCGTGTCTCCAGCTCTGGAGAGTGTGGTGGCGAGCTGAAGAAGGCCCGCAAGGCTCCAGGAAGGGGCGATGCAGCTTCGGTCCAGGAGATTCGAGCAGCCAAAGTTGCCATAGACAAGCTTCAGCAAGCCCGTGGCCATTTTCCATCTCCCAACGATGTCCGGCGTGAGCTTGGCGAGACATGGGCTGCTTCTCGGCAAAAATTGAAAGGAGTAGTCACCAGAGTGCGACACAAGAAAGGCTTTGCATCCAAGGCGCGCAACAAGAAGAGGCTCTCGGTGGGATGTTTCCAGGAGTTTGTGGATGCACGACGGAGCTTCGAGCAATCCATGTGCTTCATGTCCGTCAGTCTCAATGCAACTGTTCTCAGCTATGTGGTGTTCTTCTCAGCTTTCTTGTCAGTGCTGGAAGAGTGGAAGCCGACCAAATTGATCATGCAAGCTGATTGCACCTTCAAAGTGGATTGGGAAGGCTACGTATGGGGGTTTGTTGGACTTGTCACTTTTCGACGCCTACGGGAACGCTGGCGAAAGACATTTATGCCCGTGCTCATGCTTGCCCACCCAAGAGAGGACAGGGACTTGCAACTTGTTTGATCGTGCAGTGGTAGGAAAAAAGATGGCATGGAGACATGCGATGATCTATTTATCTTCTACTCCAGAGATAAGCACCGTCAAATTTGAAATTTGTTGGAGATTAGGTTTCTCAATTCCCTGAGAAAAACACAAAGTCTGCACACAACTGTTCTGGGTTTGGCATCCTTGGAGGATAAACAGATATGGACAAAGGCTTTTCAAGACTTGGCGCAAGAGCTACGTCGTCGGCATTTGCCTCCAGTCAGCAAGCTCTGTTGTGATTGGAGAAAGGAAATACCCGGTGCTTTCTTCGATTCGTTTGAAGATGGTCTGGTAGTGCAAGGGATGGAGCACTTGGTGCGTGCATTGCGCCGCAACAGAAGCAAGCTCGGCGGCACCCGCAAAATCGAGTATGTCATTGCCTGCTTCTACACTTTTGCTTACCTCCCAATGCATCTTTTCTTTTCCACTGCCATGGACATATATCTCAGCAGAGTCAGGCATGTTTGGAAATCAGCTCACTTTGTCGACTATGTCGAACAGCAGTTTTTGACGCGTGTTGATGATGTGATTTGGGCTTCGTGGCACTGCGGCGCCTTCAGAGAGGATTTTGATCGTGGTGCTCCTCCAAGCCAGCAGCCAATCGAGTCATGGAACAGAAAGTTCAAAGATGACTGTCTAGGCCGTTTGCAGAAAGGCAAGGATGATCATGTGACTGTCCTGTCGCAAGTGGAATCTTGTTTGCCGTTGTGGTCTCAGAAACCTCAGCAAGATGAGGAGGAACCGTATAGCTTGCTTGCGAAAGAAGGCTGCCACACATGTTCCGGCCCTGACCGGCCGGATGCTTGGATGTTAGAGACTTCGGGGACAGTGATCAAACCTCCTGGTGGGAATGCTATGTTTGTAGCATCCATCGCTTCGATTCTGAAGCATCATGCTGAGGATGCAGAGACGATCTTTGCCAAGAAGTTGTGCGACCGCACCATCTATGTGCTTCGTATCGGCGCTCCGCAGAAGAGATTTGCTGAAATACTTGCAAGTTTTTTTTGACTGGCTGTCCACAGTGCCGCTTTTTCAAAATATGTTTTGGAAACAAGTGTTGGCAGCAGGTTTTTTTTTGGTCTTAGTCAAACCGTTGTGACTTTGCCAAGCTTCTTTCTGCACAGGATTGCTTGTGGAGAGGACATGGTGAGACAGATACAAGTGGAGTCGCAGGAGGACTTGCTGCAACGCTGGCAGACGTGTGGCATTTTGATTCAGCCTACAGATGGGTGCGAGCGCGCTCCACTGAAGGTATCCATGGAGACTTTGCGCGCACATTGGCAAGAGCATTGCATGGTGATTGCGATTGACCGTGGCGCTGGCAGACCCAAGACTCTTCGGGCCAGCTGCTGGCATTTTGCCCATCACGGACATTGCAGTCATCTCTATGCCGTTCAGCAGCTCGAAGGATTGCAGACTCATATACAACCAGACCTACCAGTCGCTTCGTGTGGCCAAGCTGCTTTGAAGCAAGGGGCAGTTCCTGAGTACGATTGTGCTCTTGGCTCTTCCGAAGATGAAGCTGGCCGCAAGAAGCGCAAAAAAAAGGAGAAAAAAGCCAAAGTCAGTGTGCCCCGGACACGGAAGAAAGAGAGGAAAAAGCCCAGTCGGTCACGCACCCCTGGCAGAGCTCGTTCTCGAACTCCTGGCAGACCTCGTTCTCGAACCCCTGGCAGAGCGAGGGCTGACCAAAAAGCGGAACAGCAGGGCGGATAGCAGAGTTCTCTCTAGGAACACGAGACCAGACGCTTGGTGAGCTGCCCTGTGCCCAAAAAGATGCGACTTGAGCAAGTCAGTTACGTCTCCAGCTTTTGAGCTTGTTTGGGGATCGGAACCACTCCTTCCGGCGAGGCGACATGAAACGCCCTGCTGCTGCTGCTGCTGCTACCTCAAAGCGGAAGCCACGTTCGTCCAAGGTGCCTATCTGGAATGAAAGGATTTGAAAATGGAAAATCATTCCCTCCAGCTGCCTTGCTCTTGACGTTTGATTTCGCTTGTTTTGCAGGGAGCGTGAATGACATCAAAAGTGTTTGTAAGATTCGATTGCCTTGAAGTCTTGAATCCAGGGGTCCTTGGGTCCTTGAGGCTCTTGGTGCAATGATGTTTGTGCTTGATGTGTGTGCTAGGCGTTGAAATGCTCAGCAGATTCGCAGCTTGTAGCAAAGCCTTCGAAGGTTGCGTCAAGCAGTTGCAATGTCCTTCAACAACAGTTTGATCAGGTGGAACGGCAATGGCTCTTCAGTCAAAACATCGAAAGCATATCTAAATATATGTGTTTACAGGTACTCTCTTATTAACTATACTTTATATACGGTTTGATGTTGCTGGAACATTGATTAGATAGATATATCTATCTATAGATAGATAGATAGATAGATAGATAGATAGATAGATTGATAGATAGATAGATAGATAGATAGATGTCATTACAGACTTGGTTGATCATGTCGAAGAAGTCCATGAACGAAAGGCTATCTGAAGTTCACACAGATATGAAGTATTCCGAACTTGGTGATGTGACCTCTTGGAAGTTTTATGTTGTGGAGCTCGTGTTTCAAATTTTTCTGTTTGTCCTTGCCTCTATCAGCATGACATGCAGTTTCCCAACGCTGGAGGATAGAGTGCCGGCTGTGCCTCTAGAACCTCAGCTACAGCCTGTTGAAGAAAGCCAAGAATGTCGCGATTGCTGCCGCTTGGGCGGTGTGTGTGGTGTGTGCAAGAGCAATGGGTTTGTCACGCCGGACCAGCCTACTGCAGCGTTGAAGTCACCAGCCCCTCTCGAAGAAGACCAAGAACCTGATATGAATGTGTTGACAAAAGCCTTGGACACCCATGGCCCGGAGCAGAAAGCAATGGCAGCGGCTGAGGAAGACCTGGCCCGCGTCCCTTGTCGTGGTAGTTTGAGCAAGAAAGCCCGGAGAGCAGCTCTGTGGCGAAAGTTTGGCAAAAAAACGTCCAGCAAATTGTTGTCCAAGCAATCTTTCGAGAATGCCGTGAAGTCTCTCTTGCCGGAGGGTAAAAAGATTGGTGCTCAGGGCCTTTCTTGTTTGCAACTGGCTGTGGAAGCTGGTATGGCGCAACTCTTTCATGAAGCGAATATGTGCAGTCAGCATTGTGGCCGAAGCACAGTCTGGCCAAAAGACTTTCATTTGGTTCAACAGATTAAGCCTGATGATGTTGTGCTCCGTGGTTGGGTTCCTTGCGGTCCACTGAAGCCACCGCGGGTGTCCGCGACTATGGTTGCTGAAGGCGGCCGCTTACTTTTGTCAAAGCAAAGTGCTTTACAAAATGCAGATAATTCTAAGGTCGCCACATGACATGTGTTCCGACATCTTGTGTGATACTATAGGTCATGGATTCTATAAATCTACCATTGCGGTCGATAAGCAGTGGCCACAGTTTTGTTTGCATTCTTCCTTCGGGTGCCTGATGGGAACGCAGGCTTGTGTGACGTGGAGGAGCTTGGATCCTGTGACGATTAGGACCGTTCGGCGTGTTTGCCTGGTATATAAAGAGCCTAATCGTAGCACATTTGAAGTTGAATAATTTGAATCACGATAGATATCCTAGGATGTTGGTCAGACCCCAGAGATGTGACCCCTATCCATTAGGCATATAAATATATGTTCAAACATATCTATGCCTTTCAAAATCGCTCTAAATCCCTTTAAATCCCTCTAAATCCTTCTAAATCAATCTAAATCCCTCTAAATCATTCTTAACTATTTTAGTCTCTGTGGGCCATTGGGTTTGGCATTGAAACGCCTTGAAATCCATCATGTCAGCTCTTCGTTGGTTTTAAGATTGCTTTGGGGAATCCCTTCTTATGGTTTTGGTCATAACTTGGACCTTTATGGCATTCCGAATCTCGTATCCTCAGGGGGCAAACCCAAAAATTGAAGCTACAAGGGGTCCCCAAAAGAGCATTTTAGAGCCTTTCAGTGGAAGGGGGTAAATTGCAGAATTTGGGGCATGTGACCCCGTGCCCAGGAGGTGCCTAAGGGGTACCTGAATAAGGGATATGGTATGGAGTATCCAAAATGCCAAGATTGGAGGCGCAGAAAAATCACAACAGGAAAAGGCCCGCGTGGGCAGTTTGTGAGACGAGATGTATGAAGAGATGTATGATGGTGGGTGTAAGAGATGAGGTGTGTAAGATGAGATGTAGCGCTGAAGTTTCTGCAAGGGTAGGATCAGATGAGTATAGAAATGCAGCACTGTGACATGAAATATGTTCTGCATTGCAGTGACCCACCGTGCGCGCCGCAGCTCCAGGAGTTGAGTGAAGCGTTTTGGGTGGGAGTGGAGTGAGTGCGGGATGAGTTGAATGAGATCAGTTAAGTGATTTGAGTGGAGCGAGATGAGTTGCGTGGGTTTCGTTGTGTGAAATGAGTTGAGTGAGATGAGTTGTGTGATGTGAGGTGAGTTGAGTGAAATGAGTTGAGTGAATTGAGTGTGTGGGTTGAGGTGTGTGAGATGAGTTGAGTCAGATGAGTTGATTGGGTTGAGGTGTGAGATGAGTATGTGTGAGATGAGTTGTGTGAAATGAGTTCCTGTGAGCTGAGTTGGTGTGAGATGATTTGTGTGAGATGAGTTGAGTGGGTTGAGGTGTGTGAAATGAGTTGAGTCGGTGAGTTGAGTGGGTTGAGGTGTGAGATGAGTTTGTGTGAGATGAGTTGTGTGAGATGAGTTGTGTGAGCTGAGTTTGTGTGAGATGATTTGTGTGAGATGAGGTGTGTGAGATGAGTTTGTGTGAGATGAGTTGTGTGAGATGAGTTGAGCCGGTTGAGGTGTGTGAGATGAGTTGAGTCAGATGAGTTGAGTGGGTTGAGATGTGTGAGATGAGTTTGTGTGAGATGAGTTGTGTGAGATGAATTTGTGTGAGATGAGTTTGTGTGGGATGAGTTGTGTGAGATGAGTATGTGTGAGATGAGTTGTGTGAGATGAGTTGTGTGAGATGAGTTGAGTGGGTTGAGGTGTGAGATGATTTGTGTGAGATGAGTTGTGTGAGATGAGTTTGTGTGAGGTGAGTTTGTGTGAGATGATTTGTGTGAGATGAGTTGTGTGAGATGAGTTTGTGTGAGATGATTTGTGTGAGATGAGTTGAGTGGGTTGAGGTGTGTGAGATGAGTTGAGTCAGATGAGTTGAGTGGGTTGAGGTGTGAGATGAGTATGTGTGAGATGAGTTGTGTGAGCGGAGTTTGTGGGAGATGAGTTGTGTGAGATGAGTTGTGTGGGTTGAGGTGTGTGAGATGAGTTGAGTCAGATGAGTTGAGTGGGTTGAGGTGTGAGATGAGTATGTGTGAGATGAGTTGTTTGAGATGAGTTGAGTGGGTTGAGGTGTGAGATGAGTTGTGTGAAATGAGTTCCTGTGAGCTGAGTTGGTGTGAGATGATTTGTGTGAGATGAGTTGAGTGGGTTGAGGTGTGTGAAATGAGTTGAGTCAGGTGAGTTGAGTGGGTTGAGGTGTGAGATGAGTTTGTGTGAGACGAGTTGTGTGAGATGAGTTGTGTGAGCTGAGTTTGTGTGAGATGATTTGTGTGAGATGAGTTGTGTGAGATGAGTTTGTGTGAGATGAGTTGTGTGAGATGAGTTGAGTCGGTTGAGGTGTGTGAGATGAGTTGAGTCAGATGAGTTGTGTGAGATGAGTTGTGTGAGTTGAGTTTGTGTGAGATGAGTTGTGTGAGATGAGTTGTGTGAGCTGAGTTTGTGTGAGATGATTTGTGTGAGATGAGTTGTGTGAGATGAGTATGTTGTGTGAGATGAGTTGTGTGAGATGAGTTGTGTGAGATGAGTTGAGTGGGTTGAGGTGTGAGATGATTTGTGTGAGATGAGTTGTGTAAGATGAGTTTGTGTGAGATGAGTTTGTGTGAGATGATTTGTGTGAGATGAGTTGTGTGAGATGAGTTTGTGTGAGATGAGTTGTGTGAGATGAGTTGAGTGGGTTGAGGTGTGTGAGATGAGTTGAGTCAGATGAGTTGAGTGGGTAGAGGTGTGAGATGAGTATGTGTGAGATGAGTTGTGTGAGCTGAGTTTGTGGGAGATGATTTGTGTGAGATGAGTTGTGTGGGTTGAAGTGTGTGAGATGAGTTGAGTCAGATGAGTTGAGTGGGTTGAGGTGTGAGATGAGTATGTGTGAGATGAGTTGTTTGAGATGAGTTGAGTGGGTTGAGGTGTGAGATGAGTTGTGTGAAATGAGTTCCTGTGAGCTGAGTTGGTGTGAGATGATTTGTGTGAGATGAGTTGAGTGGGTTGAGGTGTGTGAAATGAGTTGAGTCAGGTGAGTTGAGTGGGTTGAGGTGTGAGATGAGTATGTGTGAGATGAGTTGTTTGAGATGAGTTGAGTGGGTTGAGGTGTGAGATGAGTTGTGTGAAATGAGTTCCTGTGAGCTGAGTTGCTGTGAGATGATTTGTGTGAGATGAGTTGAGTGGGTTGAGGTGTGTGGAATGAGTTGAGTCAGGTGAGTTGAGTGGGTTGAGGTGTGAGATGAGTTTGTGTGAGATGAGTTGTGTGAGATGAGTTGTGTGAGCTGAGTTTGTGTGAGATGATTTGTGTGAGATGAGTTGTGTGAGATGAGTTTGTGTGAGATGAGTTGTGTGAGATGAGTTGAGTCGGTTGAGGTGTGTGAGATGAGTTGAGTCAGATGACTGAGTTGAGTGGGTTGAGATGTGTGAGATGAGTTTGTGTGTGAGATGAGTTGTGTGAGATGAGTTTGGGTGAGATGAGTTTGTGTGGGATGAGTTGTGTTAGTTGAGACACTTCCGCCATTGCCTAGCTCAATGCATTAGCTTGTCCATTGTGTTTTCCTTTCATACGAAAAAAACCTCTACTTCCTCAATCTAGGCCCCAAAAAGAGCCCGGTTTTTTAACATTTTTGCGCCCAAAACCTCCAAAAACCGAGTCCTTTCCAGGACCTGGCAGAGATGGCTACAACGGACGAGTGGACAAAAAAAGAAGCACTGGTTGGGACGGATGGAAAAACCCCATAGTCGGGGTTAAGGCACCCCAACAGTCATGGTTAAGGCACCCAACAGTCATGGTTAAGAACCAAAGCCAGTAACGGTTAAAACCCCAAAAATAGTAACGGTTAAAACGCTGTCTCAAATCTCAACGCCTACACGGTTGTAGAAACACGTGTCACCTCAAACATGCTAGAACCCAGAACATCAATCGGTTTGGTTTGAGTAGCCACAGGACTGCCTTGATTTTATCTACAGTTTCTTTTGCCTGAACTCTGCATAGGTCAGCAATTTGTTGATTCACCGGAGTTGGCAGAGCTCCTGGAAGACCTAAATGGAGTCTCAGGCCTGCGCGAAGAAGACGGTGACGGCGACTCTGACACAGACTTTGAGCCTTCGATCCCACCGTCCAATGACATGGAGTCATCTTGTGCTGGTGCGCTCATTGATTGGGAGACCCTGATCGCAAACCAGACTCTTGCTGCAGCTTGAGGTAATCTGTGATAACCTGATCCAATGGTTTTTGTAGACAATCAACAGTGGACATGATAGAACTTTGTGAGACAAAACCGAGTCTGAAGTACTTTCCAACTCCGGAATACTTTCTCTTAGGCAAGATCGGACTCTTTCAATTCACAATTGTTACGCCCTGTTCTTACGTGCAATTGGGGGATGTAGATGCCCTTTTCCTTTGCACTTGGCAAGTCTTGTCTGCAGATGAAGAAAATCTGAGGCCAGCCATTTTGGACTCGTTGCATCAGCTTCCACGCATTGTTGTTTGTGGGACCTTTCGATCCATCAGCGGCAAAGATCTGTCAAAATGTGGCCTGGCATGAGTGTAGTTTTTCCGACATTTTTTAACCACTTGGATTAGCAGGGCTATTGACGATCTTTCCATCGATTCTAGCTTGGAAGGTAAACAAGTCGAACATTCGAATCTAATCCTTGATGGGTCCTTCTGTGTAGCTCCATTGATGAGCTACCAAAATACCATCTATTCCGGAGTCATTCATTCCCATGACAGTTGCTGGCTGACAGCCAATTGCGACAGGTTCTGGTGAGGTCATAGTGCAACGCGGACCTCCAGCACTGCATGGCTGCAAGGTGAAGATTTGGTGTGGCAAAAACCGGGGCCCCACTTGGGACTACGACAAATGCTATGTCAAGATCTTGGATGCCCCGACCTCAGCTATGCTTCTCCAGAACTTCAGAATCATTTCACCGCAGTCTTCGACGGGCCAGGGATTTTGTTTTATTTCACTTCCAATGTGTCTCACAGAAGCTCACAGCCGAGGCGCGCGTATTGGGGAACAGCCACCAACCACCTGATGGAAAAGCATTGGATGTGGAAAGGACTGCTTGTAGCTGCTGGTTAATTTGGGCATGGTGTTCCCACCAAGATCCAGCAAAGCTTGGGACAGAGGCTCTGAAAGTGAAGATAGCTAGCTTGGGGATCCCGAAGATTCCAAGGCTGTGGTTCCTAACTTGAGTACTTGGATTGCTGGGCTGTATGGTATTTTAGATTGAAACCATTTGATGCAATTCGATGACAACCTGTGAACATTTTGGTACCCCCACAAGAACTCTAAGGGGTTGCAGAGAGGATTCTTTGCTGCTCTTGCAACATGTCAAAATGCTTTCAGACTTTCAGATCTTTCAGCACTTTGATTTGTGGCCAGAGAGGATGGAGCTCTTTGGGCGCATCGTCGATCGCATGGAATTCGGAGTTCCCAGACAGAAGCTCTTCGTGCGCGTGAGGCCGAAAGTCGTGCACAATGCAAGATGTGTGGCTCGGGCTGAAGACAGTTTTGTTTTTTTCTCAATTGCTGGAAGCATAGCTATTGACTTATAGACTGACATTTTAGACCTATCAGAATTTTGCGTCCTGGTATAAAGAATATTTCCGCAGCATTTTTGTTGTTTCTTAGATCACACTGACACCAAAATTAATGGCACTTCCGAGCCTTGAGGTGACCTTCAAGCCGATCAATGGCAAACTGCCGGCCATTTCAGTGCCCTGGAACACTGCCGTGGAACTTCCAAGCGGCCATGATTTGCATGTCGTAGCTTGGCTGCATGGCAGAAGGGATTGGGCGGAAGCCTCACATTGACATTGAACAGACTAGAGTAAGTTTGGGGTACACGAGCAAGAAAGATTATGGATGGCCATTGTTTCCCATACCTGCACGCGGACCTAAAGGTAGAAGTGCTCGATTGGAATGGCGATCGCTGTCCAAGAGGACAGTACTTGGAGGACTTGAAGATGCACTCGCGCGATTCAGACACGTCCATCCTGGAGGCCGTCCAGATCCTTGCCCGCTTGGTTTCATTTGCTTTCTTCAGTTCAACAAGGTCAAAGTCTGGGATGTTTCCAGAGCAAAGAAGCCCTAAGAGAATCAGAAGCCCATCAATCTTGAGTATCTTGAGTCAACATCTGCACTCCATTGGGACGCCAAGGATCTCTCTGAACTTCTGCGACTGGCCACGGGGTGATCCCAGAAGTGAGCTCGCAGTGGCAGATTTTCCACAACCCATGAGGAGAAACCAAGGGCTCTTATGCCAACCACGTGCATTTCAGTGTTGGGGTATGGTTACTGACAGTTTGGGTGCAGCTTAAGAGACATTTTGGGGTGGGGACCTGGAAGGTTTTGATCCCCCAGTCTTTGCATGGACAGGAGAAGGGTGGCAGACAGCGGTTTGACGGTGGGCATTCAACATCCAGGTCTCCCCATTGGCATGGTGATGTCCTGCGACCAAAACGAATTCCACATGCACGTGCTGGATGTGAATGCAAGCTGCCTTTAATTGGTATATATTGAGTTTGAGGAATTTTCTGTTCTGGCTCTGCTTGCTCCCAGCCTTCTTAAAACTCTCTCAGGCTGTCATTGATCTGTGGGATGTCCCTTTCCTCCCAGTCCTGAAAGTTTCTTGTAGACGGTAGACTGTCCCAGGCATACCTGGATGCTCTGGGAATGGAGGTGGAACACTTGGTACGTCAACGGTCAGTGGGAGCATGGTTTCTGGATCATCTCGACAACCCCTTGGAGGCGAACTTGCCACTGTTCCCTCCCAACATTGAGGCCAGAATGTTAAGATGCGGACGGATGGATGACCATTTTGATTGATGGTATTCTCCGTTTGTTTTCGTTTTGGATCTCCAAATGTTCGGGAAGTATGCATTGTAAACCCTACGTTCACAAGAGAGGTTCTTCGGACCTGATGAAATGGCTGCAGATCACGCATGATCGTGTCCAGTTGTGGCAAGGATCAGCTCACGTTCAAAGTGGGTATGGAACGGCCTGCAGTGAGTTTCACATTTGAGGCTGGTGGTGGATTTTGTTGTGAGGGTCAGAGGTGTCCATTCTCTGCGTCTTTACCTCTCAATTTCGAGACTTTTCTCCCTGCATCAATCCTCAGCACAGGCAGCACAGGGCAAGCCCAGAGTCTCCGTGAGTGAGACGACTGTGCGATGCGACCGCATCCTGAACCCTTCTGAGGCCGGGAGGAAGTACTAAAAGTGGAACTCTTGGGTTTCGAACGATTGGAAACCAAGATGCACTAAGCAGTGTTTGTGGATTCAACCTCAGCATTTAAATATTGTGATTGGAACAAGATGAAGAAAATGGTTGGATCTAGTGGACCTAGCTGGCCACCTGTGGCAACCTGCAGGCTGGAGAGATGATCCTTTCTGATGAGGGAGGTGATTTTGGTCAAGTGCTCCGGCGCTTATATTCTCATGTGGTGGAATTTCGGAGAGCTGACCTTGCCAGCGGAAGTGGATCTGTCCTCGAACATCTGTTGGTCGCTGCCTGCCCGCAATTTTCCTGCGACTTGAGATTTCTACGGGGTAAAAGGTTGAATCATTTGAGCTGCAGCTAGACTTGACAGTTCGAGCCGGGCGTCTCTGAGAATTGCCAAACCCAAGGAAAAAGAAGAGCTTCCAGGTCCACTGGTGGCAACAGAACAGCTCTTGCAGGGCTGCATGTGCATGGTGGATCGCCATGTTGGAGCGGCTTTGTCGGCTGACGCCTGGAATCAGCTCTTGCACGGAGAGGAAGACGGTGAGGAAGATGCCAAACTCACTGTCAGGTACATCCAGGGCAAGGCTGATCCCAGCACTTGGAAGGTCATTGAGCGATTGCTTAGAGTGAATCACAATGATCGAGACAAGGAGATCCGCGTGGCAGAGACTTGGCATGAGTAGACTTTGTTGTGATCATGCTTTGGGCTGAGAGGGCAGCATAGTCATAGTCCGTGCCGCAGCGCGAAAATACTTGCTCCTTCAGGACGTGATGCGCACGCTGAGAGACATATTGCAGCAGCCAGGGCTTACGAATGCCCAGAAACATGCCATGCGCGCTTCTTTTCTGCGGCGTTTGCATGCTGCGCTTCCGGCTGGATACTACGAGGTCGCCCCAGCATGCGAAGATTCCAGGAACACAAGCCATTGGTGGCATCCGGAGCCTCGATTCCACGTTGCGTGCTCAGTCTTGCCTTTGGAGGACTCCTCACTAGCAACAGGAGAATGTGAAGCTTTATGATTGAGATATCTTGATATCATTTGTGTGTGCCCCAAGGAGGCCTTCATATCATATCCCTATACTTGCAGCTTTAAATGTTGAGCACATGGCACAGCTCAATCAAGTCCTCTCCCGCGGAGATGTGCCGGAGCATCTTGAAGTCTGTGCCAAGCCACATGTGCAATGGAACGTGCACAGAGTGATCTTTGTAGAAGCACGACTGAGGTTACATCTCCGTTGCATCGCTACATCGACATTTTGGGCATGAGAGCTTTGAAGTGTCAGCTTGGATGGACAGCTTCGCATCCTCACCTGCTGCTCTCCCGGAGGCACTTGGAGGAGGCTGTCGCTCGGACCAACTGCAGGATGGCTGCGGAAAGCTTCGGGCGGCACATCTTTCGGACCATCTCGAGGATTCTCGGCTGAAGCAACTCATGCTACCACATTTCCAGATTGGGGGTCCATAGTCCAAGGAACCACAGCGGCCGTGATCGTTGTAAGATCAAACAATGCAACTTAGGCAAATGCAAATAAAAGCGAAGGGTCCACAGCTCCAAAACTTCAAGTTTGCCATAAAGAAGTCTGAGTCAAAGGTTTGGAAATGATATGATATGATACTGTAGCGATCTGTAGCAGATCTTTCATGTTTATGATCCGGATTGTTGCTTACCCCTGCTTTTTGTGCACCAGCACCTCGTGCTTACATTGGCAAGGCGTGTCCAAAGAGCAAAGAAGCATGCCGAAACAGGGATAATGCCTAGACACCTCATCAAGACAACTACATGCGTAGGAGTGCGCCAAAACTTGACGACTTAGATTCCTACCGAATATTGGCTCCGGTATTCAGATGTTCTTTTTCCATTGAATATGGATGAATCAAAGCTCTACACCTCCAGGGTGCGACTTCTTCAGATGGATTTGCGTCCATCTTCCGAGGATGCGAGAGCTCTCTGGCCATGGTCAGTTGATCAAAGATGCCGTGATTGGAGCAGTTGGCCCTACCTATATCAACATCTTGGTTCCTTCCCAGACAACTCAGACTTTGGAGTCCAGCCAGCACCGAATTCACTGCTGTAGGCAGTTTATTTTTTTCTTTAGTTCGGAGGCGTCAAAACCGCATAGTATGAAACAACGACAATGACCTTTTTTGTTGGGATTTCTACTGCCATCAATCAGGCTCGCATGATTTTTTCTGTCATTGTGGATGGTTGACATCCGATTTTTGCCCCTGACTATATTACAAAGATTACAAAGTCAATCCCCGATGAATACCCCCCTATAGGATCCCCTCAGTTTTTCTTTTGGAGTAGCATTTTAGTAGCAGACAAACTCATTCTTTCGGCCAGACATGGCCCACAGCTGGTCCCAAGGAGATGAAAGTCCCTGTGAACGCTCTGTGTGGCTCCAGCTGTGTCTCTGAGTACGATGTGGCCACCCAATCCCTCAAGCTCACCAGGCAAAACGGCAGGCTGGCAGTAGGTAGTAGTGTGACCCTTATCAATGCATTATCTGAGATCTGTATATTTCATGTCTGTGTGTTCAATCTGTACAGACAGACAGACACACACACACACTTGCTCAGAAACATCTCAGATACACGCAAAAAAAACAAATCTCCGATGGAAAGGGGTTCATGAGGGGCATTCGCGATTCTTGGCAGGGATCCCGTGCACATCGTGCGGATCTTGTCCTGGTTCGCCCGGCGAATGACCTGCGTGGTCGCTCGCAACTACGCTCAGCCCATCCCGCACCACGCCAGCCCCAACTCCATCGTCGTTTGGGAAATCAGGTTTCACGGAGAGAAGGACCATCGCCTTTAGCAGTTTATCACTTGTGCTTTGCTTGTACACGCAACAGTGTACTTGTGATACCAGGATTCGATTTTCTATACTCAAGGAAGCACAGGTGGGGGAAAATGTATGAGCTCCACTCCTTTGCAGAGGGTCTATACTCTGTCAACCCTTGAATGATCCTCCACTTCACAGTCTTCAAGGTCATCAAAGAATCTTTGCAAAAACTGTTTGCATCCTCTCATCACTCACCTCCCTGTGGCAGGACGTCTTTCCCACGGGCCTCCAGACCTTTCCGGAGTCCTTCCCCTCCTGGCCGGACCTCACAGATTGGCCCTTACTGGACCGCAAGATGGACACCTACTCACAGGTTGGGCTGGAGGGGGCTGTGCCTTTTCTTGCCAACCTCCGGTAACCTAAGGCACGAATTGGATGCCAAAGCTGCTTTTCATGGCCTGGCTTGATTTGTCTCTGGACGGTTGCAGGTGTGGTCCCGGATCAAATTGTGCCAGGCTGGGACGAGAAAACTTGGAAGTGTTCTGAAGCACGGAAAGATCCGTGCTATTTGATACAAAGCAGCTTCAGATCTTTAGTTTGTTTTTTTTTTGCAAGGCATCTCTTCTATTCTCGCATAATACGGGGAAACTAACACAGCTGCCTGTCAACAGGTCCATGCTGCTGCTGTGGCCAGTGATGCCTACACCACAGCTGGGGTGGTCAGCGACTTGAATTGGTTCTCCACCAGTGGTGCTTGGCACTTCGAATGCCAAGTTGACGTGAAGCTGTTGCAGTACCAGTGGCTGGAGCCAGGAGATTTGGCGGTTCTCAGCTTGGAGCGCGAAGGCAAATGCGCCAGCCTGCAGGGTACCCTAGTGAAGATCAGAGGCAAATGGCCAAACCCTGTGGAAGGGAAGAGTTTCATCGTGGAGGTGGAGCTGTCTGAAATTTCGGAGCTGGCTTGGCATGCCCAGGAAGCCTTCTTGGATGGTGCTTCCAATTGGCGCCTGCACTTCATTCTGATCCCTCCAAATGAGAAGAAGAGCATCCAACTGCTACAGGACATGCAGAGGTCTTGCCCATTGCAAGGCATGCGCTTGACAGTTCCTAGAAGCACAAAGGAGATGAAGAGGGAGAAGGAGATGCGACCTCTACTGACCAAAGAAGAGGCGAGGATACACCACAGATCTGGGAAGCTGTCAAGTTTTCTGGAATGCCATGCCTGCAGTTTGGTGCTAATTAGCCATTTCAACAAACAAGTTATTATTGTTGTTTCCTTGAGATGCCCAGTGTAATTGCCCTGGCAAGGTCAGATGTGCAATGCAGTCGGCCTGCGACGCCAAGCTGAATGAAATGCAGACGCTGGCGATTCAGAGAGCCCTGCAAAGGACGTTTTCAATGGTTCAAGGGCCCCCAGGGACGGGCAAGACCTCCATGCTGGTTCAGTGCGTGGACACTCTCTTGTCAGCCCCAAGACCGTGGAAGAAAGGCCGATATGTTGAAAATGCAAACGTGACACAACAATTATATTCTTGACACGGTGCAGTTTTGGAAGTTTACATTGCCACGTAGCTTGTTACCTTGTTGGGTTTTGAACTGTGGCACCCTCAACAATGCCACACTTTCTGCTGAGGGGATGGCCGAATCTTGGTCTGCGCACCATCAAACCACGCAGCAGACCACATCCTAGACCGACTGGTGAGCGCTGGCATACCAGCTCACTACATCGTGCGAATATATTCCAGGGGCATTGAAAGATCGTGCGAAAGCAAGTACAAGGGTGGGACACTATGAACTTGCTCAGAAAGTTTGGGTGTTTTTCAATTGTTTATCTTGGTCAACATTGTCATGTGCCCATTACGTTTTCTATGCGCGGAGAAAGTCTAAGAGTAAGCAAGGTAGGGCCGGTAGGGGTCAACATTTCGGCCCAGGGATTCGCAGTAAATTGGCCAATTCGGAGATACCCAATTTTGGACTGCCAAGATCTGAGGACAACAAAGACGGAGCGAATCTTTGAGATTCAACCGCACCTCGAAGAGCACGCACTGCATCGAAAGGTCGGTGAATCACACAAGGCCAGCCCCAAGCAAACAGATGCAGTGCCAAGTGGGCAGGGAATTTTCTACCTTGAAGGAGCTGGAATGGAAGAAGTTCCTGACTAGTTTCTTGTAAACGGCTTCCATCAAGCAAGTCCGGTAGGATTTTCATTTTGGGGGAAGACCGCCAAAAGAAGTGATCAATATTAAATGCGGTTCACACCTGGCTGCTTGAGCTTTGTATTGTTGGAAATGCAGTTGAGACTTGGTTGAAAGCACAACAAGTTGAACCCGCCTTGAGGTGAAGAAGTTGCTTCCGGCAAACGGTCAAGAAACTTTCGACAAAATGTATGAAGCTGAAGAACTACAAGTTCTTCGTGCTGCGCGCATAGTGATCACCACATGTACAAACGCTTCTTAGCTGGAGCTGTCCACATGTCTATACATCCATGTTAAATGGCCCCAAGACTTATAGCCTGTGGAACAAGTGGATTGTAAATGGATGTATATAAATGGAAACCTGAGGAAAGAAGTGACTGTTGAATCAATGTTCATCCTTTCTTGGGGTGTCATGCTAGTGGCCGAGGCTTACCTCCATACCTCCATGGTGCAGGGCGAACCGCCCCACGTGGTTCGCCCGGTGAGCTTCGACAGTATCGTCATCGACGAGGCGGCACAGGCCAGTGAGCCAGACGTCGTGCTGGCGGCCACATCGGCCAGCTGCCGCGTCATCGTGGTGGGCGATCACAAACAGCTAGGCCGAGGGCTCGGGTGAGGTGACAAAATCCTATTTTGATTCTTGGCATCTTGCAGTATCGATGTTACAGAAGTTTGATCTTTTAAGATCAATCAGATCAGTCACTTTCGTTCGGCTGTCCGCCCTACCAGAATCCAAGCATCCAAGCATCCAAGCATTCGTTCAAGTCAGTCCAAATGCATGCTGCCAGGTCCAGTGGTGCCAGAGACCAACCTATGTGCACCTTACATCAGTGCGTTGGAGACCCCATTTTTGGAGAGGATGTATCAAAACCCTCGGCGCTCATCGGCGAGCACCATGCTTATCCAGCAGCAACTTAGCTGCGGGTGAGGGTTGATCCCCGATTATGCAAGAAGTGTAGCGGAAAGACATTTCAGAAGCTTGAAGGGTCAGTCTGGGTCGTCGACTCTAAACATGATGGAGTTGAGGGAAGCAAGTTATGCGAGTCATGTGATAGTGGCATGTACTGGAGACTTAGCCGTGGAGATATACCCAGGTACCGAATGCATCCATCGATCCGGAGCTTTCCATCGTCGCAGTTCTACGAGTCCATGCTGGAGGACCAGGTGTCGATCCCGCATCGGCCGCAGCTGAACTGCATTTGGCCACAGAAGAAGGAGCTGGGATGGTGGTGAACGTGTTGGACAGTTGAGGCAACAAAAGAATATAAAGAATCAAGAATTGAATTTTGGAACCCCAGAGCTGGTTCAACATGGTTCAATCCGAGTGGGATGAGCTTCTCAATGTTATGAAATTTGGGAACTAGAATGCCTTCCGAATGGCGCACAGGATCTGATGTGCGAGTGGAGATTGGCGAACTCGCAAGCCAATATTTATCACATGCAAAGATATGCAGAGTTGTTGCTAGCTATAGATTTATTTCCACGTTCCCTGCTGAGAAGCATCACCCAGCCGGGACCTATCAGGAATATTCAGGAATTGCTCACTTCGAAAATTCGCAGGAGCATCGGCGTTTCATTGATTGCCGGACACCGCAGTCTATGGGCCTCTCTCCGGACTTGCACCGCACCTGCGATGCGGCTTTGATGGAGAGCAAGGTGGGGTTTGCATGGCAAAGAATGGACGTGGTAAGGTGTCATGGTGGATGGGAACCTGCATGAGTTTATATTTATTCCCAAATCTCCTTCACCACACTGCCGAGCAACTGCCCTTCAGGTTTCCTTGAAGAACGTGGGAGAGGCCCGATCTGTGGTGGCTGCCTGTAAAGCATTGCTGCGACAGAAATGCGACCCGCGGGACATCGCAGTGATCACTCCCTACAAAGCCCAGCAGCATGAGATTCGTGCCAGGCAGGCCTTGTTTCGACTTGTGCTTCGCTTTTCCAGATGACCCAAGATGTTTTTGTCAGTGCAGGCTGGAGCGGGAGGTTGGCTACCACTCAAAGTCCATCCTTGTGGGCACCGTTCATGCCCTGCAGGACGCTTGAACCTTTTGCAATTTTGGTGCCTTTTGAAAAACCAAGTGTGAGACGCTTTCCTGGCTCGTGTAGATCCCAATCATGTTTGAAAAGATTTGGCCCAAATCTATTGAGCTATATATAGGCTATATATCCCATTGTTGGGTCTTAGATACGCCCCAAAAATGTGTTCCCGAACAGTGGGCGCACTGCTTGCAGGGCTCGGAGCGGGAGTACATCATCGTGAGCTTCGTCCGCAGCACCTCAGAGGACGAGGACGTGGTCACCTCCGTTGCGAAGACCACCGGAGACTCCGTGGCGCTACAGGACTTGGGTGGCTGTGCATTATTGGACCCCACCCTGCAGAATCAGTAACTAGTGATGTTGGCTGGTGGTTGATGCATCCTAAATGGAGATCTGGTGGGGATACTTGGGACCCGCAGGAAACTCGCAACCGTCTTTGTGAAAGACATGTAGAGGGCCTGAATTGTACACAGATCCCACAAAGCAGCAGTGTTTGACCATCCTGCCAATGAAGGAGATGTACGCAAAAAGCTTGGGAATCCTCGAAAACTTCCGCGTGTTGAATGTGGCCATCACAAGAGCCAAGTATGGCCTCATTTGTGTTGGAAATGCAGACGTGTTGAGCAAAGGATCCAAAGATTTCCGAGATTTCATTCACAGCTTGAGGAGCTGCAAATGTATCCTGAGTCAGACTGAATTTCTTGCATCAGTCCGCGCATACAGGGCGTCCCAGTGACTTCTGGAAGAGCAGCATCGTTACTTGTTGAACTTAACTCAACCTTTTGAAAAGATCTTCAAATCTGATAAGAACATGATCCAGAGAAAATCTCTGTTGCTATGTGCGATTGGTCTTCCGGAAGGCTTTTGACCCATGTGCAGATGCATCAAAAGCCGCCCGCCTTCAACGTGCTTAGATGAAGGCTTCGATGCCTTTGAGCTCAGTAGCCTTTAAAATCATTGTGGCTATGTCCAAACTTTGGGATGCCCCCCAAAATCTCCGAAATTGAGGTTGTAAGTTGTAGTAGAGGTGACCCATGACTTGCGTTTTCGTGGGTTTCCCCAGTTTTCGGACAAGCCCATATACAGTACTCATATACTTAGTCTTAGTCTCTTAGTGCCAGGAAAAAAGGGTGTACAGGCCGGAATCTGGTCGCGAGCGAACTGGAATGTGTATCCCCAATATGGAAACAGATCTCAACCAAAATCATCCGACATGTATTCGCAGTGCTACTTAAGTCTCGCATGGACTCAATAGGAAACCAATGTGAAGCGGTTGTGGAAACTCAGGAAACCCTGTGGCGTGTTTACATCCGCAAACAGGTCAGAACATGGCAAGGTGGAGCACAACCCACACGACAGCGACAGCCCTGGTGCAATAGAGACCTTGAGAGTAGGCCGGCCCACACACATACACATATGACACCCAAAACAAGTGGGTTCCTCTTTTCTACTGGGCGCAGAAGTCTTGGGGTCCGATTTGTGAGAAGCCTTTGCCTTTGGCGAAGGTTGGTCTCAGCTTGCAAAACGCGGAGTACTGCCGTACCACCTCTAGGCATCCCACTTCTGCAACACAGCTTCATACTATAAGCAATACCAAGAAGAGGTCCAGACTTTCAACATTTCCTGCGAGCTGGTCAGTGCAAAGCTGTATGGCTCCAGTCAAGAACACACACACACACCCACACACACCCACACACCCCCACACACCCCCACACACCCACACCCACACCCACACCCACACCCACACCCACACCCACACCCAG